TAGGATTACAGGTGTGAGCCACTGTGCCGGGCCTGTTGTTTTTAATTTAAGATTTAAGTGTAGGATTTTTAATTTATTCCTATGGAACCGCATCTTAAATAGATTAAATAACATAAAACATCCTAGAATGTTAGATGATTAGAGAATTAAATTTCATTTTGTTATATTTAATTCACTGCTGTAACTCACTGTATAATTTATGAATCTATTTATATGCAATACAGGGGGGAAAATAAACTATCAGTTGTGACTGTAATATTGTTTTATGATTTTTTTAACCCTCCCACTGCTCAACACACACTTACCATTCCACCATATGAGGGTACTTCTGTTCTACAGTAAGACCAGGATCAACTTCAATAGCGTAATACTTTTCCTTTAGTTTCAATAACTAGAAAGAAATGAATAACTTAATCATGAAGATTATAGAGTTGTCATCAATCTACTTAGTTTTACAGAAAGCAAAATAATGTAAACAAGTATTTTCCATAAACTGCTTTATAAATTGAGCTAATGCATCAATTGACTGAAGAAATATTTGTTGATCTTAGTGTATATGTAATTAAATATACCTGCAAAAAGCTACCGTTCTTCTGTAAAGTATTTTCACATGAGCAATTCGGTGAAAACAACTAATCAAATTGCCACTACAAAAACACTTTATAGCCAGGCATGGTGGTGTGTTCCTATAATCCCAGTTACTCAGGAGGCTGAGGCAGGAGAATCATTTGAGCCCAGGAGTTTGAGGTTGCTGTGAGCTAGGCTGATGCCACGGCACTCTAGCCCAGGTGACAGAGCAAGACTCCGCCTCAAAAAAACAAACAAACAAAAAAAAACCAACCACTTTAGTTCTCATATAAGCGTATTAAATTTGATGGACATTTTGAGTTGTATTTTTTTAAGACATACACAGTCATTTAGTCAAAGTACTGAAGTACATTCCTGGTCAATTTAAGGGAACGAAACCTACATGAAACTTAGGTATTTCTGTTTTAATTCTCCAGTTAAGGTAAGAACACCAGAGTGTTTGGGTAATTATTTAAGAGTTTTTAATGTAAGTTTTATTGTTAAAAAGTTACTGCTAATTTTATCTTTAAAATATGTTGCAAACGCGTAATTCATACAGTAAATCTAATATTTACTGAGTGCTTACTATGTGCCAGGTATGGCTATAAGCATTTTCATCCATTTTTGTTTGTGTGAATTCACCTGAAGAAATTCTCAGGAAAAAAACGATAATGAAGTTTTTGAGTAACTCTGGATTACTGTTGGTGCTTACCTTTTCCCGACATTCATCTGTAACCAGTTTACAGTTGTCAATGATATCTAAAGAGAGAAAGCAAAACAGGCATTAAAAGAGATACTCTGATGCTACTTCTATCATGAATAATTTGTTACTTTTCTTTTAGGTTTAAATACCAAGTCAACCAGCATAGTTATTATAACTTTTGGTCTCAGTAGTATAAATCACTTGGCATTGCTAGAGAAGCTAATGGTTTTAAAATATGAGATTTAATGATTGCTCATTTAGTATCACCGACCTAGACAATGTAATGTCTTGAACACTGTGAACTGTGCACTGTTTCCATTTTCTTCTTTATGATTAAAAATAGAAGAAAATAGATATTTGAAATATACCTTAATAAAAAGATAGCAAATGCTTAACGTAAAAATCTGGAAAATACAGATCGCTGCAAAGAAGAAAACAAAAATTACTCAGTTTTACCATTCAATAATAAATCACTAATATCTTAGCATATTTCCTTTCCATCTTAAAAGTTTTATGTATAT